TTATTAATTGTTCATTAATAATATTATGAGCTCAGTTGTTAAAATACCATTTCTGAACAACATGAATGTATATAAATTGTACATTTGTGCTAAATTATTATTATTATATGAAATATGTAACATTCTGGTTGATGCACATATATGTACTTACTTACACCTGTTACCCCTCATGAAAGAGTATAGACCACCTACTAACATTGTTTATTCAATTCTGTCCTAGGGTACATATACATGTCCCCCTCCCTTATAAAAAAATATATTTCAATATGTTAATATTAACAAATTAAACTATTTTCAATGTTTGTTTTACTTAAATCTGATCAACACAATACAAATATATTACGATAGAACACGTTATTTAATGATAATAATGATGTAATAAAATCGATCACAAGTTTATTCTCTGAAAAATTCCCATTAATTTAAAACACAATTGTATGAAGGAAGACTATTCTTTTCAATAATTTCTCATCAGGTTCTACAATTATCTTATATCTAAATTAATAATCCATAAAATTGGCCAGATTTAAGGTAGAGTATATCATTTGGAAATTATAATATGTAAATTAAGAATTGTTGTTTGTTATATAAAATCAAATCAGATCGTTAATGTTGGAGCTGACTAATATAAAGTGTTAACTTGAATCAGTTTATAGGTGAAATGAATTAGTGAGATGAATGATCAGAATAAATATGATCAATATGGGGTGAGAGGGAGTGAGAAAATAATGGAATAAACATCAGAAATTATGTAATATATAGAATAATATGAACTAGGTCAGATAAAGTAGATTTAGGGGTGGATATTGAATAAATTCCTCAAAAAGGTTATCAAGCGTAATAATAATAATGATAAAGATAATAATAATAATAATAATAGTAAAGATAATAATAATAAGTTTGGGACATAAAATGAACATTAATCATATTACGTCACCATATTATAAAATTGATTATTAACTAGTTGGCCCCATAGTTGGCCAGGGTATAAGGAGTAGCTGAACATACTTCTTTTGGATGCAAATCTCTGGCTTTTTGATCCGAATACCAATTGCTTCAGGCGTCTGTAGGATTCGCAGTCTGACGGAATTAGGTAGACTGCTGTTAAGACGATAGATTATTGCAAAAGACTGCTCCAACATGGAGCAAGCTTATTATTATTATTACTATTGTTATTATTATTATTATCTTTACGACTGTGATTGTCATTGTTATTAATATTATTATTACATTTGATAACTTTTTTGAGGAATTTATTCAATATCCACCTCTAAATCTACTTTATCTGACTTAATTCATATTATTCTACATATTACGTCATTTCCGATTTTTATTCCATTATTCTCTCACACTCTCTCACCCCATATTGACCATATTTATTCTGATCATTCATCTCACTAATTCATTTCACTTATAAACTGATCGAAGTCCCACAATAGGAAGAAACGGCCGTACTGTGCTTTCAGGTTTTCCATGGTGGTCTAGTTTCGATTGACTCATGATCTCAACAATTGAAATTTCTAAAAAATCTCCACAAAATCCCTTCTGATACTTCATATTAGTCAGATCCAACATTAACAATTTAATATGACAAACAACAATCCTGGATTCATATATTACAATTTCCAAATGATGTGCCCTGCCTTAAATCTAGTCAATTGTATGAATTATTCATTTAGATCTAGGAATTATAGAACCTAATGAGAAATTCATTGAAAAGACTATTCTTCATTCATACAAGTTTATTCCTTAGAAAAATTGATTTATTCAACTTCTAGCCGAATACATTTCAGAGAATTATGTAACTAATTATCTAAATGACGTTTTATATTACCCTATGAAATCTAATCCCCTTTTTATATATATCAAATCATTTCGATTATAATATAGTAATGAATCTATTCAAGTGTAAATTCATCTATACTAAGGTCATATCTTATGGAAACAATAAGGAAAAAATCAATTAGATTTTATATAATGAAAGGAAAAACTTTTCATTTTGAAAAATTCTCATTATTAGAAAACTATAGGTAATATTAACAAGAAAATGTACATGTTAATAAAGTTTTGTTCAGATTCTATAGTTATTTTGATGAAGTTTTGTTTTTTGAACTGGATAGTTTGATCGTGGAGCTATCATCATACTTCTGAACGATTCATTCAGCTCAGAGAACAAAACTCTCTCAAAATCATACATTTGAGCTACAAATGTTCTTCACTATTCTACAGTTATATATGTAAACTTGGAATCGGAAAAGCGATTAAATTTAAAGAAAATACTTTGCTTAAAATTTTTTGGTTTGTTTATAAAAGACCGATGTCAGGCAAGGTTGAATACTTTCACTATTTCTTGTTGTCCTGGTGATCGACTGGATTATGAAAACGTCAACATCTGGGTGAGGGGAGCATGCGATACAATGGACAACTAAGGTGCAGCTGAACTATCTAGGCTTCACAGATGATCTGGCTCTTCTATCGCACACGCAACAACAAATACAAGACAACATGACCAGTCTAGCAGAAGCCTCAGCAGCAGTAGATCACAATATACACAAAGGGTAAAGCAAGATTCTCCGATACAACACATCATGCACCAATCAAATGACACAGATGTTTATTAACAGTTGTCTACGCAAAGTACTTCAGATACGTTAGTCGGACAATATCAGCAACAACTTACTGTAAGAGAGAACAAACCAGATCTAAGCGGAGGAAGAAATCATGAAGATGCGATGGAAGTGGATAGGACAGACATTGAGGATAGCACTCAACTGTGTCACAAGGCAAGCCCTGATTTGGAATCCTCAAGGCCAAAGGAGGAGAGGAAGACCAAATGACATGTTACACCGAGAAATGTAGACAGACATGAGAAGCATAAAAAACAATTGGATAAAAGTAGAAAGGAAGGCCAAAAACAAAGTGGGTTTGAGAATGCTGGTTGGCGGCCTATGTTTCATTGCGCTTAACAAGCGTAAGTAAGTAATATATATGAACTTTATTAAAATGATAATGAAACTTGTTTTAGATTGTAGAATTTCAATTGATAGGGGCTAATATATATACAGACGTTTATATATATTTCATGAACTTATAAACTTGGATTTTATTTATATTTGCTAGTTTTCATAGGTATAGATCATAATTCATATTGTGAATAACTTTGTATAGTCAACAATTTATAATTATATTCTTTTGGTTTATTAAAAATTCAATAGTTGGATTGATGAGTTAATTTAAGTTAAATCACCATGGAAAACCTGGAAGCACAAAATAGCCGTTTCGTCTTATTGTGCTACTCCTCAGAGGGACGAAATGGCTGTCTATTGCTCCCAGGTTTTCCATGCTGATCTAGCATCAATTGACTCATGATCTCAATTATTAAAAATCACTATTTGTATTTGATGATTAATAGTTATTAATCCTTTCTCTTAAAATTTTTTCATAAAAATGATCTATCAGAATAATTGAGTTGAATACTTCATATTGAAGGTTAAAAGGACTTGACAACAGTGAAATTTCAAAAAAAAAAAAAGAAAACAACGTTTATTCATCCAGCAGTTACCAGTTCATATATATTGAAGGTTAAATATTCAATGTATTAACTTTATTTCATAATAATATGAATTAATTTTACTTCATTAGGTTCTCATCAGCTGTTTACAACTTATAATATTTTAATATGAACATTATCATAAATATTGGCGTAATTAAAATTTATGATGATGATTAGAGATGAGTATGTCTATTACAGAAATCACCAAACTGTATCACGTGGCAATCCGTAACATGGAATCGTTAAGGGAAACGGTAAAGAGGAAAACCAAAGAACATATAACGTTGGGAAATAAAAATAGATATGAAAAGGATGAATAACAACTGAAAAGAGCTGGAAAGAATTGCCCAAGACATAGATAGAGAATGCTGGTGGGCGGCCAATGCTTTTCCACGAGGAGTAAGAGGCGTAAGTAAGTAAGTAAAATAAAGTAAGATGTAGAGAAGATTTCAATAGAGTTGATTACATCATTTTCATTTTTATTTAATTCATCATTGACTGATTTCAATTCATATCATTCTTTATTAATATTAATCTGTTTTCAGTCGATTCATTACTTAATCATTTAATATCGATTAACTTTAAAATTTCTAATCCTTAGTTTATTATTCTGGAATTTTCTCTCCAACACTATAGTCTTATTAACTCTATTCCAATCTTCATTACATCATGATACATATAATCATCTCTATTGACCTTCATCCCGACCGTAGCTGCTACCTTGACGCGGTGGTCGGGCTTGCCCATCGTGATGACCCGACCGAGCTATATTGGCTGGAACATATATCCCTGTAGGTTCTACCACATCAGGCAGGTCGATTGGAGAACGGTAAGACTAAAAGCAGCAACTCAAGGTCTGAGGGCGAAGTCGTACTGTTGAGTGTACAGAGGTGTGACAGCAGTAAGGGGTTTCCCTCGGACAACCAGCATCTACAGCCATGCTGCATTCTCATAAAAAAGGAAGGGGTTAGAAAAGGTCGACCCTAAAAATGTCACATCTCACCTTACCTCAAGGATTTCTGTCTCCGGCGGTAGGGCCCTTTGAAGAATGGAGCTAACATATTAAAAAACCTTCTACGAAAAGGCCGTGCGCGACCGGCCTTAAGCAGTTGTCCCTTGAGCTCTGTGGTCACACTCCCAGGTCGTTAAGACCAACACTAATCTGATTTTCTTTTCAGGTTCCTCAAGAAATACCCTTCCACGGTCTGGGCAGCTGGGAAGTGACACCAGCCCTCATACACGTAATAGCACACGATTCACCTTCATATTTTCTAAGTATGCTTAATATCTATAATAACTCTTAGCCGCTAATGACAGCCAAATAAAATAAAGATTAATTCATATTCATTGTGCACTAATTTTTGTTCTTGCTCTCTTTAACACAAATAAAAAAAGGGTGCTATATGTATATATATACACTTTGTATTGATAAATTGAATTCACTTACCAGTAGAATAACGTGTATTATTTGTTTCATTATTTTGATTCATTCTAGGTAATCTACCTGGTGATCGAAATGTATGATTGAAATTTTCTCCAACATGATCAAAAAAATTTCTTATATTTGCTAAAATTGACATAATTTATTAATAAGATAATTCTATTGTATTGTATTATATTGTATTGTATATTTTGTATTAGAGTAATGAAATACTTTAATAGTGTATGAATTATAATTATAAAAAGTAAACAGTTAGTAACTAGTCCCAATCATTTATATGTTTACTTATATGAGATTGTTTTGTTGTTGTTGTTGTTGTTGTTTTTTACTCCCCTTATTCCTATAATTTGAAGGAGTAATCATTTCTTTAATGTTTATTGGTTATTTTGTTATGTCTGTAAATAGATGATCAGCTGTAGCATATATATATATATATATATATATATATATATATATATATATATATTTCTCTTTTTAACTAAGTCTATTCAATGTGTAAATGTTATAGGTTATAGAACTAACAATATTATTATTTTATATCTGAATTGAATATTATAATTGGCTAAAGGGAGAAGAATTAACAATTCACTATTTAAGATTGACTAAAACAAAACATGTTGGATTACATGTAAAAGGAATACTGAACTATTATAGTAGTAGTAGTAGTAGTAGTAGTAGTAGTAATAGTAGTAGTAGTAGTAGTAGTAGTAGTAGTAGTAGTAGTAGTAGTAGTAGTGGTAGTAGTAGTAATAGTAGTAATAGTAGTAGTAGTAGTAGTAGTAATAATAATAATAGTAATAATAGTAGTAGCAGAATTTAAAATGTTTTTAATTTGTATCCGATTGTTTGTTTTGTAATGTTGAAGGATAAACTAAATTAAAGAAGTGCGTTTGATTTTTCTCCTAAGATCTGTCGAGCTTTCAGAAAGTGCATATTGAGTTTAATAGTCAATAATAGCCAACCATGATAGAGGTTAACAGGATAAGTTGTAAGTTTGAAATCTTTGATTTTAATTGAAGTTTATGCTGATGATGTTGTTTAAAAGAACGATGAAAGTTTCACGACTAAACCATCCAGTTCAGAGAACAAAACTTCACCAAAATTATCCACCTGAGATGCAAATCTTCTCCACCAACTCAAAATACATATTTATCTTTAAAATTTTATGTTGTATAAAAGTAACAGATGAATGGTTGTCAAAATAAATGGATCGATTTTGATTGTTGTTTGTAAACTGTTCATATCAAAACTAATTGTTTGTTGAAGTGGTAAACAATAATTGTAGATAAGGATGAGAGTTTTTAAGATATTTCATTCCTTGAACTGGATGGCTTATTCATGAAACTTTCAAAAACATCTTGAATGACTTAACTGTTAGCTGACTATTATATTGAGATGGTGGAGATTTGTAGCTCAGGTGGATGATTTTGATGGAGTTTTGTTCTCTGACTATCATAGTTTAGTTGAATGGATTATTTGGAGATTCGTTTAACTTTTAGGTTTTACATGTTAAAGGCTGACTTTTGATGAGGTTATGAGTTTTAAATGCTGAAAAGTTCTGTACTTTGACGAAATAGTTGTCTATTACTCTTTGGTTTTCAATATCACACAAAGATAATTCTGTGACCGAGACCGATAAGTCCCGGCTTCGAATTTCACGGGCAAGGTCGTTGATGCTCATCGCTGAGGGGTTACACATTAGGGGAAAAGAGCCATCCCGTGTTTCCAGGTTTCCCATGGTGGTCTAACTTCAATTGACTCATGAACTCAACTATTAAAATACTATAATATTCACAAAAACCCTTTCCTGAGAATAATGGAATGTATTAATTTCCGAGTTACTGTTAATATAATGACAACGTAATGCCCCCGAATTTCAAAGTAAGACTTTACTCATAAAATGCACTGCAATTTTTACAGTTAATTAAATAGTATAAAATATAACCACCGAATAATCTATTTACCCTTATATACTTAACTGAAATAAGTTGGCAATAATCAATATAAGTGGTTAATTGTCGATAATAATTGAGACAAAACTATATAACTGGATATTATCAATCTATTAAAATTTAATCACTGATCATGAACAAACCATCGCAGTATTTAATTAATTAATTTTTCCAAAAAATACCTTTATTTTATTTATACATTTCTTCAACCAACTTGTTTGTCAATTAATTGCCATAGCAACTATCTATGAAATTTGTTTATACATATGTAATAATATCTATTTTCTATATGAGTAGGTATTTTTAAAATAAAGACGTAAAGTTAAATTGATTATACAAAGATGGAAATTGGCTAGCAGTGGAATTCACCACGTGCGTTTCATCCAATTTGGGACTCGTCAGCTGGGTGTACCTGCATCTCAGATTTGATAATTACTCCGGGACTCGAACCCAGCACCGTTCACTTCAAACTCCATTGCATTATCCACATAGCTACTGAATCCTGATAGCCACTTGCTTGTGAAATGGGGTGACGTTGTAATTCGCTTTATGTTGTTTACTTGTATCTTTCCATCGTTATTTAGGACGCAGCGAATGGCACTTTATATGTAACCACATTTATATTCAATATTTATTGTTTCTCTGTATCAATGGTAAAGAAACGGATCTTATTGTTCGGTTCTATACACACACTACCTCGATTGTTAAAATGTAAACGCTATCTCCACCGTCTGTTCTTCTGCTTTATTGGCTACGACCTTTGATTGAAGATTATAATGGTGTTATAACATCCTTTAGGCCTTCCCATACTACATTGGAGTTTTGGCCTGGATTATTATTAATCTTTCTCATTTAACCGTTGGTGTCACCACGTGCAGGAGAACCTTTGTTAATCAAGTGAATTCATTTGTGGTTGTTATCTCAGAGAGCAGTTGACAAGTAACATTCATTTTATAATAACTGTTATCACATCGTTATTTAATATACCATTTATATATTGTAACTGTAATTTGTTACCTTCTGCTTTACTCATAGACAGACATTTAGGTTTGTAATGTTAACCCTTATTGATAATAATATTGGTAACTTTGCGTATTGTTATATCTCGAATAAGCTCTTTTGCTGGGATCCACCATGAGATAAATTAATTACTTAATTACGCCTGTTACTCCTAATGTATCATAAGCCGCCGACTAGCATTCTCCAACCCACTCTGTCCTAGGCCTTCTTTTCTAGTTCTATCCAATTCTTGTTCATTTTTTTCATGTCTATCTCCATTCCCCGGCGTAATGTGTTCATTTGTCTTCCTCTTCTCTTTTGGCCTTAAGGATTCCATGTGAGGCCTTGTATTGTAACGCAGTTGGGTGCTTTCCTTAAAATTTGTCCTATCCACTTCCATTGATTATTCCTGATTTCTTCCTCCTCTGGGATCTAATTTGTTCTTTCTCACAGTAGGTTGTTGCTAATAGTGTCTGGCCAACGGATCCGAAGTATGTTGCGTAGACAGCTTTAAATAAACACTTGAATCTTCTGGATGATTGCTTTCGTAGTTCTCCAAGTTTTCGCTCAATACAGTAGAACTGTCTTGACATTTGTATTGAGAATTCTGACTTTGATGTTGTTTGACAGTTGTTTTGAGTTCCATATGTTCATCAGTTGAAGATATACTGCTCTTACTTTGCCGATCCATGCGTTCATCTGTGTATCACATCCACCGTGTTGATCAATGATGCTGTCCAGATATGTAAAGGATTTTACATCTTCTAAATCTTCTCCGTCAATTGTGATTCGATTGTTGCATGTTATGTTTACTGGAGAACCTTGCTTTTCTGCTTGTGTATATTGAGACCTACTGCTACTGAGGCTGCTGCTACACTGGTCGTCTTCTCCTGTATTTGGTGTCGCATGTGAGATAGAAGAGCCAGATCGTCTGAGAAGTCTAAATTGTCCAGCTGCATCCTAGCTGTCTACTGTATCCCGTGTTTCCCTTCAGTTGTTGACGTCTTCATGATCCAGTCAACCACCAGGTGAAAGAGAAAGGATGAGAGTAAGCAACTTTGCCTGACACTGGTCTTTACTTCGAACGAGTCTGTCAGCAGTTTAATCCATCATAGGAATTCCGTATGATATTGACTATCTTCTCAGGCACTCCGTAGTGTCGAAGAAGCTTCCATAGTGTTGATCTGTTCACGCTATCAAATGCTTTTTCATAGTCAATTGAGTTGATGTAGAATGATGAATTTCATTTAATTGATTGTTCTACAATGATCCGTAGAGTTGCGATTTGGTCTGTACACGATCTATCCTTATGGAATTCTGCCTGTTGGTCTCGAAGTTGAGCGTCTACGGAGTCCTTCATCTTGTTTAACAATATCCTGTTGAAGACTTTTTCTGGTATTGAGAGAAGAGTGATTCCCTTGTAGTAAGATAAATCAGAAGTATGATAGTAATTCAATATTTTCTAACTAATAAACCATAAATAAGATAAAACTAACTAACAATTTGAATTTGAACTGTTATCTTTTATTTTTAAAATAACAAATTATCAACATTTTCTACATATTTGTTCTTTTATTTTACAGGAATATTCATCATATTTTTCTAGTGTTTATTAGAACATTATCACTAGTACCATAGTAACTAATAATAAACATGTACAACTTGTCATCTGTTTGTAATAATTATAAAAATACAAAAAAAAATTTTTTTTGTTTTTCAATTATAGATAATGTGAATATTCTTATCAGAAAAATAAATCGTTCGATTATTGATTCAGTTTCTCTTTTTTTTCTCCATATTTTTTTTGTTACTTTTTATGACATAAATAAAATTTATTTCTCATTTTATGAGCGAAAAAAATGCGAAAAAATAAACAAAAAAATAACAAACAAACATAGAAACACATGAAAACAAAATTTTTCTGTACAAGATTTTTATGAAAATGATGGAAGTTTTTTTTATTGTCGGTAAATATGAACTAATTTAAGTTAGATCATTAGTGAAAAACTAAAACAAGAAAAATTAGATAATTATTTCATTGTAGTGTAATGGTTTTACTTTGTTCATTGATCACCTTCGATAAACTATTCTAATATAAATCTCAATAATGACATAAAATCAGAAGGTAATGAGATGTGACAATGATAGTTTATTAGAGGATAGCATAAATCACAAAGTTATAAGTATATTGAGCGAATTTGAAATGGTAAGATGAATAAGTATATGCAAACATTTACATAGGTAAATTTATAGTCAAATTGCATAAGGATGCAGCAAGGCGAAGCAATGACTAATAATAAGAATAATAATAATAATAATAATAATGATATTTATCTGGAGTCTGTCATGTGCTCTAGTGATCATAACGGTAC